ATACAGTAAAGTACCGTATAATTTACTACTGTATTAAAAAACTATAATATACTACTACAGTATTATAATATTACGATAAATGCTAATTTATTTAGTTATAATGAATTATAATTACATACAAATCATACTTGCAGTCTTATATAGCTTGCAAAAAGTAAAAAATTAGAAAAAAAAATCAAAAAATAAGAGTGTTTCCGCCCGGGATCGAACCGGGGACCTTGCGCGTGTGAGGCGCACGTGATAACCACTACACCACGGAAACAGTTGAATACTATGTGCTTATATTTATGCTTTTAGACAATATAACTTATTATTAAAATTTTGTGCCAGTATTATATGAAATATTTTCGCTTAAATTCTTTGCACATTTACTGTAATAACTTTTATATTTATACTATTATATAAGTTAAGATACTTTTTTTTATTCATTTCTGGTCATGAATTCTCGACATTTTTTGTTAAAAATTGGTTTCCCTTTGACTTTAACTCACATAGTTTTTGCAGTACTTTTTGTGCCATAACTGGACTCACATAAGTGTTGATCACTACTCAAAATATATCGCTGATAGTAATCATCAGGCAAAGTGTTCAACAAAACATGTCTTTTTTATTTGTGTCTGATTTATGTGAAAAAAACTCTAAATATATAACAGTCCTCTGGTTTTACTTCACTTCACACTTATTTTTATTTATTTTATTTGATATAAAAGTGTAATTTAGTGGAGAATTCCTTTATTTTTATGATTACAGCAGATATTATTTGGTCTTTCATAGTGTGTTATATAACTGTGAAAACAGTATCCGTTTCTTAAGCCATAAATTATATAATGTAAGCGATTATCACAAATAGGAACTGAAAAGTTGATTAATAGACTTATGTGTTAAGCTTTGATTAAATATAACAAAACAAATAATTTATGAAATTTCAGAGTTTAATCAATAGTTATCTCAAAATAGGGTTTCTTTGCCGGACATAAAAGCAATAGACATAAAAATAAAATACTTTTTATTTGTGAATATTTTGTGCTTAAAAATTCAATTTAAAATATATTTCTAAAAATATAAAGTCTATAAAAGTGGCCAAAAGTATATCTGGCATTAGATATGATTTTTTTTCACCACAAGAATTCAATATATATGTGAACTGTTTGACTGACTCAACACTATTTGATTCTTTATACCACTTTTGAGATAACAATTATAAGATATAATATATATTTTCGGGATTTAATATCGTTTCAAAAGTGACATTAATTTATTTTCAAAGTTTATTAATGTGTTTCGAGACGAAAATTATAACTTTTATCTTTAGAATTATGATTATTTATTGCATTATTTATAAAATAATAAAAATAAATTGTAAGTTATGATTAGTACCAATACTTACTGTAAACCTTTAATGAATTAACTTTCCATTTGTTCAACATTTGTGTGTTGTTTGGAAACCCATTCTTATGAACCGATGATTTTTAATGCAATTTGAACGCTAATTATAATACAATTCTTGGTCTAAACAAAAATGCCATAATAATGAATGTATTGTAAAAAACTTTATTATTATTCATTAATATTAGTCTCAAAGCTTTTACAGTGGAATAGCTTTTATATAAACAAAAACAACAGCATTTCGATTGTGTCTCTCATTGGTATTACAATTAGATATTTCTATATTTGTTTTGTAAGTCAAATAAATTCAAACACAAATTGATTGCAATTTCAAGAGAAAAGACAAATTGATTGCAATTAAGGCACAGAATTTAATACGTGTTTTAACTTTCAGTATTGCATTCATCCAATAGTTGTACTCTCTATGAGAGATAAGTCTTAGTTTTTAAGGATTATTCGCCATATATATTGAAATATTAGCACAAGTTTTCATTTATTCTCATTACATCCCAACCGACCATTTGTTTTCATTACTCTCTATGAGAGATAAGTCTTAGTTTTTAAGGATTATTCGCCATATCTATTGAAATATTAGCACAAGTTTTCATTTATTCTCATTACATCCCAACCGACCATTTGTTTTCATAAATCGCACAAAACATGGCTTTTGGTCACAAAAAGGAGTCATTACTTCAATAGATTTAGTCTCTAAGAGATATAAATTCATATATATTTCTAATGAATATTATAGTCGTTTAGTAAAGTATTGTACAGTGGATTAGAAAATCGCAATTTTCAAAGATATGCTTATTATAAAACAAATCTATTATTACTTATAAAAATATGGCTAAATTAATCGCAATCATAGGCAATAAATTAAATAATGAGTTGAAAATATTGTAATCGTTTTGCTTGAAAATGAGATAAAAACTCCAAAAATATAATAATTGTCTGCATTTGCAATGAAATGAATGAAGGCATGAATGAAAGGGACAATTGTGTGGCACTAATACTACTACTACTCGACACAGACCGGTGTCTCCCCTAATGACAACCGCACGACTTGACGACCATATTCTTGTACTTCTTGAGGATGACGTTGGAGTTGTCGTCAAAGTATAGGACCATAATAGCGGACAGTTTGGTGGGCGCACAGCAGGGCTTAGGAACGTTGTATGGGTTCATGAGGTGAACCAATGTCTGGACGATGGCGTGATTCGTGGCATTCATGTGTGCATTGAGAGGGAAACTGCACTCACCGTCGCAGAAGAAGGCCGCGTAACCATCCGGTGCTATGATCCAGTCCTACGTTAGGGCATCGGTAGCCGGAAAATAATATAGCGTTCAAAATGACAGTAATTCATAATAATGAGTGCAATTGAAATGGCATTTGATTACTAAACTCATAAATATGATCGGAAATTGGAGTTATTTTTCGGCACTTAAGGCATTATCAAAGTTAAAGTCATATTATTTTCGCCGAAAGTCTAATAATAAGTCTAATAATAGTCTATTATTTATTTGATTAGCGTTTGACATCAATGCATGGTTTTGATGTTTTTCAATCATATTTCTGTTTAAATATATTTATTAAGATTTTTTTAAAGAATAAAATTTCTCTTAACAAAAGCTATAAATAGAAGGCTAAAGAAAATGTCAAATACTATTAAAACGGCTGTAAAACAGATATCAAAAGAAGTTGTTTTGTGTTTTGTTTGACGCAAAACACATATCGATGTAATGAAATATATATAGAGAATAGAGAATTGAGTTTATAGTTTGGGTATTAAAGTCTGATTTATGCGAATATATATACGAAAAAACATTGACTTTATATTTCAACGAGAAAAAGCTATTTTGCACTCAGAGATAAAGACCATAGAAGTACATAATAGGCCTGACCTGCCAGCCCAGATCCCTGAAGCTCACATAAAGAGTCCTTTTCTGACAACTTCTTCCAGAAGCGTATCGATCGTTGGGATCTGTGGACACAATAAGAGTCGTATAGTTTTATGTGTTTTGCTTTTTAAGGCACAAAAGAAATGATAGTTTATATAAAAAATTGTTTAAAATGTAAAACATTTGATTGTTTTATCATATATTTGACGAGACAAGTCATACTTTAGGGAAGTCATACTTAAGTAGGGATTCCACTCGTCGTGATCATAGAAGGAGACATCACTCCTCTGCCTCTTTCTGGACGTCTGTCTTATTCGCCGCACATTTCCATGGGATCTACTCTTGAAGAATGCGATCGTAAAGGGCTGTCGATCTTTGGGTCCGTTTGTGCCGATTATACCGATTTCGTGCGGATCTATGTCTCGCTCTAATTGGGATCGCAATCAATGCATTCATTACTATAAATGACACATATTTTTGTGTTTGTGTGTAACAAATGAATCAAATGATGACAAATGTTTGCATAAATTAGGCCTTAATTCTGTGCGATACACAAAAGCGCAAAGAAATTCTGTTTCAAACGCTTAATGGTATCACAAAAAAGATTTTTCATTAACTTTAATCTCATGGCTTAGATTTGGAGCCCAATTCATAATTTGATTTTAAGCGCTGAATGTATTGGTGCGGAAAAAAGTGTGTATATATACAGTATTCATAAATGTATTCATAAATGTATTCATAAATATATTAATAGTTCCTATAATTTAGTGTCATTTTCAATGCATTTATATTCATCACTCAGTTATCCTTCAATTTTCTAGAAATACTTTCGTTGGGCTTAAAAAAGCAAACCCTCGCCAAAGTGTACGAGAGTTTTAATCATTAAAAAATGTAAGACAGAAATAAGTATTTTATTACAAATAAATTATTAATTTCTAAAAATATATAAAAAGTTGTTTTCAGGTTATGTGCAACTCGTATGTGAAATGAAATGTTTGAGAAAATGTGAATATTTTGTAAGTAATAAATGTAAGTGAAATGCATTGCAATGCAAGTTTATAAAAATCCTAGTCAAACCTAACCTAACCTAACACAGTCTGACTGCAATGATAAGTGAACAGAGAGTATAGCATTGCATATGAGAGAGAGAGCATTAAAAGCATAAATATAAGCACATAGTATTCAACTGTTTCCGTGGTGTAGTGGTTATCACGTGCGCCTCACACGCGCAAGGTCCCCGGTTCGATCCCGGGCGGAAACACTCTTATTTTTTGATTTTTTTTCTAATTTTTTACTTTTTGCAAGCTATATAAAATATGATTTGCTATAAAAAAAAAAGCTATATGATTTGTATGTAATTATAATTCATTATAACTAAATAAATTAGCATTTATCGTAATATTATAATACTGTAGTAGTATATTATAGTTTTTTAATACAGTAGTAAATTATACGGTACTTTACTGTATCTACCACTACACTTAAATGTTTAATATTTTATAAATACTTGAACATAAAAATAATGTATAATATAAAGAATTATAAATTAATTGAATTCTTAAGAAACTAATCCCGAAATATAATTATATTGGATAATACTCTCAGTACAGCATAACAGATGATATATTGTACTCATTTACTGTAAATAGTGAACATATTTTGCTTCACTTTAATGGACAGTTAGCCTATTAAATGTGAATTACGTGAATAATCATGATAGGAAAGTATTTTAATTAAATAGCTGGTGGTGTAATAAATAAAAACAATTGAATACCGATTTGATGGGCCCTTATTCGCAAATATAAGCCCAGATTCTGGTGGGGAAACGTAATCCACGTAATCATAGGATCGGTAACATTGAGCGAAATCCATCCCTCGTCGAAAGTGATCCTCTGGTCGCTCACGTAATTCAATACCTTATCCCTGAAAAAAATCAATTTTATAAATAAGACATAAATTTGTTTTTATTCTCGTTTCTCGGAATCTAAACCATAAAATATATGTATAAGAGAAACACATAATGGGTTTGTTATCTGCGATTGTGATTTGCTTTCTATTTATCTATCGATCACTAAAAGACCTTTTCTTTTATATGTATAATATTGGTCTAGAATTTCAGAGACAAGTAAAACTTTTTTTTATATTAAGCATAATATCAGATCTCAATCTTTAATTCTTTGTTATTCAAAATTTGTGTAGAGATAAGGGTAGACATAAATGTTCGTTCAATTCTAACATTAAATATTTACAAAAATATTTTAATGCAAACTATATTTGTATAACGAAAGCAATTTCCATTATGTAATAACAAATTTCTTCAATTTGTATAACAATAATACATTTGCTTTTCGTTTGTATTTGCATTCCTTTAATAACACTTTTCATATCATTAGCTAATCCTTGCGTTATATTTGAGTTTTCAAAAACTCTAGAGAGAAAGGATGGGAGAGAGAGAGAGAGAGAGAGAGAGAGAGAGAGCATCTGAAACCGATACTCGACTCGAATTAATTCAAAAGCATTTCGCATGGAGTACTCGTGTAAATGTGTAAATGGAGTTTTGTGGGGAGAGTGTACTCTTACAAGTAATTTAAGTGCTATCAGAATAATATTTAACGGAATTATAGCGTATACTTCTAACTGTTATACAAACAAAGCAATTAATATACGAACTCTGGATCGTCTCCCTGTGAGAGCATATATAAAGTCAAGTGATATGTCAGGTTTGAGGGAAGACTACTGTCGGTTAAGTCCCGAAACAGTCTGAGCTCTGCGTCCATAATAGTCTCTTCGGGCGACACTTCGCTGACGTCGAACCAAAACCTCCGGTCCCTGTCGTGTCGCAAATGCGGCGCTTTTCGGTGTACTGTACGTGTGATTAACGCAAATATATTGATCATAGAGTAATGGGTTTACAATGTTGTAGTGATTGTTGTAGTGGTCTCTCAGCACTTACTTTGATTAACAAAACTCATGATAATATCCGAGTCGTTAATTGCATGCAAACTATTATTGCTCAGCACTTCTCCTTCAATAACGACCGGTGCCTTGCTATTGATCTTCAGATTACCGCTATCCTCGTCGAGAAATGATTTGTACAAATCTATGAGATATTTTGGGGCCGAGTTCTCAGTCACTAATAACAAAAAATAAATAAAACATATAATATTAACCATTTGCTTAACAAAAACCAAATTAACTTAAGTTTCATGAGAGAGAAAGTGTTATTAATAACGGAATTTAATGTTTAATAAACGCAAGCATAATGTCTTAACTGAATAGTCTCTACAAATACAGTATGTTAAAAACTGTCTCATTATCCAGGTAAAAAAGTTTTTTAGTGTTAGTGGTGTGTGTCTGCGATGGGCACTAACCATGAGATCTAGGTTTGGGTCTGTGGTGAAGGCCCAGGAGACTGAGTATTTCGGACTGCATTTCTTTGCGCTCTTTTGATGGCAAGTATTTATAAGCAACGGTTTGGTCGAGTCTATTGTCCGCGTAGAAAGAGATGGGCGACGATGACAGCACAGACACCGACTCCCATCGCTGGACACTAAGCCATACGAAAAGCGAGACCAGCCATGAGATGATGGCTTTGGCAGCCATTGTGTTGTGTGTTTTGTCCGATGTATTCAGGAATCCGTGTTATGTTATTATTTATGTCTCACAAGTATTTCGCACTTTTCTGTACAAAACTTGAAGAACAGGCTTTCTCTGCGACTCCTATACTGCAACTGATACTTATCTGAAGAGTAGTGCCTTTTTTGAAGGTATACCTTAGCGTTTAGCTCTCCCTCTCTATAAGATCTCCCAGTGCTCCACAGACACAGCCATCCCGTGTTCACTTAAACAGCACATTCTCTCTCTCTCTCTCCCCTCAAACCTTAAGGATATGTTGAATACCTTTTCCAACTCTCACTCCACCTTTCAATACCTATCGAACGGTTTGGCTTTCAATTAATCATAAAACATAACTACTGTATAACAGGTGATCATCGCTACTGCAAACAGTGCACAAAACTTGTCACTCATTCAGCTTTGCATACATTTGGCTATGAATTCAAGTTTTGTAATCAGTTTAATATTAATCAGAGTGAAAATAAACTGTCTCAGTCATTGCGTTCAATAGTAATCAATAGGGAAAACATACTGTATTCAACATTTAAGTATTCAATCGATTTATATTTAGATTAATACCGGTACTTGTATATCATTTTTAAAATTACATTTGTTATTAATGTTATTCCATAGAAAATAAAAATGATTTGAAAATACTTCTATAAACAACTCATAAATATTTCAAAATTATATAATGTAATGATTTTATAAAATCAATATTTTAAAAGGCAAACTTATTTTAAATAACATTAATATTCATGAAATCAATATAAAATATGAATAATGGGCTCAAAAATAATTTACACAAACATTTCTGAACTCAACATTAAAATAAATCATACGTCCTATGAGTAATCAATGAATTAAATTAATCTGTGATTGCAATGACTATATTCACTTTATGACAATACATTGCAAACAAACAAAAATTGGGGGAAATATTAGTGTAGAAAATATTAGATATCGATAATAACGTAGACATCGGTGCGGCCGACCTTTTCGTGGATTTGCATATTTGAAAACGTAATGGCCTTCACTTCTGTGCCCTATTAATGATTAGCAAAATCAATCAATTGATCCGTCAGTCAATCAATGCTACAGAAACACTCTCAGCACTCGTATCCGTGTACTGCGAGTGTGTGTTACGTAATAGTGCGGCAAACCTGCGGGTGTTTATCCAGACTGAAGGTCTCGCCATAACCTCTGGCTTTGATTTTGTTGGCCTCCCTGTCGAACTCCAGAATCTTTACTTTCTATTCAATCCAATTGATCCACAATTCAATCACAAGCCGGTCAACCATTTAAAGGCAACAAAAAAAATACAGATCTTTAACGAAACACTTAAACATAAACTAAAGGCAAGGGATGGACACAAACCCGAGCGATAAAAAAGGGTTCGGCGCTGAAGCCAAACAGGAATTCGTCTAAAAACTGGTAGAACAGTGACTGGAGGTCGTGGCCCTCGACCTCAATGTCGTGGGTGTCGGTGGAGTCGACGGTCTGTATTTCCGTCATATACGCAAACATAGCGACCGCCGACTGCTCCATGGCTTCGGCTAAAGACGTGCCCCCTATTGGCGGTCATAACACAGCAATCAATGCATACATCACTTCATATGAATGGCAAAGCATGGCATACAGGCGTGGATTCTGTGCGGCAAATATATGAGATACTGTTCAGACATTCAGAGATAATCAAGTGATGAGCACTTACTGGACATCCGCCGTGTGGTCCAAGTCTGCAACGCAACCAAATGTACGGTTATTATCAGTTCATTAGATCCGTGGCTGAACTCACATTCGTATTGTTGTGGCGGAAGTGTGGTGTCCTCTTCGGTGACAGTGATGTCAATGGGATTATCCATACCTCGAGACTTGTGAGCAAATGAACGAATCGATTGAATGGCAAACAAAACCAAATCAATGTTTGTTTGACTTTTTGTTCAAAGAGTTGACTCCCGTTTGCATTACATTGCAGGCAACATATGATGTAATAGTGGGCCACACATACACTACAGTACCACACAGTTGCTCATCAGTTTTTGTCCCCTATATGTCACATACAATTGACATACCATATAATATACCTGTAATAAATACATGATAAGTGTTCATTTTAATAAGTATACATTATACCTGTATAGTTTATACTTTAAATAGCACAATAATTAAGCTGATATAGAGTTTAATTCTCATCAAGCACATTTATATAATTGCTGTATACTATAGCGAGTGTGTAGTGTATATCTGTGTCTGAATTCATTGAGCAAATCGATTGAGTCATTGGGTTTGTGTTAAGGCATGCGCTGTACTCGTGGTGAGCATTCGTGTATGAATGAAATGAATGTTTCATACAGTGAAGAGTTAGTCCTCTGTATGCTCTCAACGCCACTACTCTATAGACCTGTCATTCAATTGATACACAAAACAATCAAATCGTCGAAACACTGTATTTGCCATTCAGTCAAATGTTATCAACCATTCATACAATCACTCAGTAATTGCTGCAGTATTTATACTCATCTAATGACAACTCATTTATTATTAATTGTTATATAATATTATACCATTGATTTTGAACCAAATATTTTCTATATGAGTATTTAAACGTATCATAAGTTTTATGTTTTTCAAAACACGGTCTCTTTCTCCATGTATTTGGTGTTTGTATTCATTTGTTTGTAAATATTAATACTGTTTATACGCTAACCGTAAGTATACTTGCATTCAGAGAACAGTAAGTACATTAACATCAAAATACAATATAAAATACGGTATAAAAATTACACAAAACACAAATGCTCAACACTCCTGTCCGTGAGTTAATTTACCTTTATTATAATGTGTTTTCATAAATGAATAGTAAGTGTGAAGAGCCGTCAAAATTAAGTCCCATTTTCTGCGATCATGTCATGTCTTATACTCGTGTCTCGTATTGACATTTCAAGCAATCATTGATTTCAATGAAAACAACAAATGCTTTACTTTTAACGACTTTCTCAGTAGTAGTGGTGAATGAGTCATAAGAAAAATGGATTTAATGCCATAATTATGTGGTATTTAAGTAAGAAATAAAACAAAATCAATATAAAATCAACTAATGATTGAATCAATGAATACACCATTTGTTAGTCATTTGCGATGAGATTTGTGTGACTGTTATCTGATATTTAAGCCGGAAATCTGTCATCACTTTTAAGACTATATTGCAAACAAACTCTTTATTGTCGTTTAGATTGTATTGTTATTTATTATGATTGAGATTATAATGAAAGTAAAGGCATAGCAATAAAGATAATACACTGCTATATATGTGTTAATAATAATAATTGAAATGGGATTTCAAGCCCTTTACGCTAATATAACATATGTTTTATTGTTTAAATTAATTTATAAAAATAGGAGTGAATTGTGTGCTGAAAAAGTGTTTGTTTTAATCAGTAAATCATAAATTATACATTTATAATAAGTATAATGCAATTCATTTTAGTGAGTCATTGGACTGTCAAAAGGCTTATGAAATGACATTTTTCACTGCATTTTAAAAACACATTTCGTTATCTCTCATATCAGCTGTTGTTTTAATAGATTTGTTTGCAATTTATCAATGAATCTCTCGGTTTGACTTTGACTCCAATACGAGGTTTAAAAGTCGCGTTTGAAAACTATTATGAAATTAAAGTCCTCTAATTTGAAACATATTTTATTTTCGAGAAAATTATATATTTTTGAAAAATTATTTTCTAATGATATCATTGTGTAATGCAATCGATTTTCATTATAAGTTATACCTGTTATATACAGTATAGCATTAGTTTTGATACTTTTTTAATGTCGACTTTCTATATATAACTCGTTTGTATAATAAAGAGTAATTTTTTATACGAGAATTGACTCAAATATTTGCTATAAATATATAATTTAATAATAAAATGTATAATAAATTTATGCAAAAGTGATGTGTGTTTTGAAATGCAAGCAATGATTCAAACATTTGAATGATATGTAAAAATAATTTGTTGAAAAAATATTATTTATATTACAATGCATTAGAGAATAATAATAATTATAATGAATTTGTGAGGCATTTCATTATATCCTTGAATGCAATGCTAATCGTATGGAATCACCGACTGATGGCATGCCATAAGCCTTAAGCCATTGTTAGATAACTATTTAGTATTTAACGAAAAACTAATAATACATTTACACATAAAAATCCAGTGTTTGAAGTGTGAATGAATGCTATCGACATAAGAATCGCTAAATATTTAATATATTTTAGTTATTTGCAGTTATTTTTGGTGATAAAAAAGCATTGATTTCTTTATTTCTTTCTCTCATTTGTCTCTAAAGAATGACTTCTCTTCACACAAACCGATTTCATATGATTTCCATGACTTCAAAGTCCGTCTGTTATCGCTGTAACTGATGAATACATTTGGATGTGATATAAGTGAACAAAACTGTGAATGTATTAATCGTCTCAAGTGTTTGGCGTTACAATCAAAACGTCGTTTCAATCGTTAATAATATTTTCCTTTTAAGAGTTAGTGTTGTGAAGAGCTTTCAACAAAACAATTGCATTATAAGTGTGATTACAATACAAACGACACTCACATCGACTGTATATATTCGGGAATGAAGCGAAACAATAGTCCGGGTATTTCCCAGAGAGGGTACGTGTCGTCCAATGACAGCGGTTCCAGTAATGATGTACAGCCGAAACCAGCGAACAATCCCCGTATCAAACAACACACCCGCGGACTCAGTCAGGGCTCATACACTCCCAGCGCACACCAGGAGTTGGCCCGCACTCTGGGCCGCACTTCCAATAGTTCAGCCGAAGACCACCTCAGCGACGACCCCAACCATCACTACCACCACAAGGAGTTGGCCATCAACTTGTCGGCCAACTCGTGCACAAATGGCAGCAGCGGTAGCGCCGAACCGCAGTCCTCCACACCAGTGGCCGCCAATCAGTCGAGTCTTCAGAATTTCAGTTCGACCGACGAATTGGATTCACTGATACCCCACTCATCGGACGCCCAACGGGCGCGCGCTCTCGTCGAGCACTTCCAGTCGAAGATCGTTCGCACCAAAGAGTCCATCAAAGCCGAGCAGAACGCCAGGGATGAGAACGTCAATGAGTACCTGAAACTGGCGGCCAATGCCGACAAAAATCAATTGCAAAGAATTAAGAGCGTCTTCGAGAAGAAGAACCAGAAGTCGGCGCAAACTATCGCCACTTTGCAGAAGAAGTTAGACAACTATAACAAAAAGATCAAAGAGACGGAAGCGCGCGGCGCTCACCACAAGCAGACCCGCGAAATGCTGCGCGACTTCGGACAGGGGCTCAAGGATGTCGGCGTCAACATCAAGGAGGGCGTCACCGGACTCTCGGGCGGCGTCTTTGGAGCCATCCATTCGGCCGGAGAGTGAGTGACAATCGTTTGATTGATTTTATGAGTTTTAGTTAAAGATTATGTAAAACTGCATGAATTGATGTTTTATTCAATACTTACGTAACGGTTAAGGCTTTTAGGAGAGAGTCTGTCTATCATTGAGTCGACCCTCAACTTGACTTTGAAATGCTATAAATATTTGGCAAATAATTAATTTCTGTGTTGACTCTAAAATTAAATGCATTTCTTCAGTTCAGTTCAATGCTATGATTCAATGGAATTCATTACTTAAGACATTTCTTTCTTATTATTTTTATATCTGTAGGTCTGTTATGACAAAACCAAAAGAGTTTTTTAAGAATCGTTTCGCGAGCTCTGAAAACGTTAACTCATCTGAAAGTAAGTTATAATTCATTTTTTATGGCTTTCTTTTTTGGCGTTCAATGAAGTCATCAATTGATTGCACATTCATTAGAGAGTAACGACGATCCGATTGGCGGTAACAGTAGTGCCGCGAACGCTGACAACGAAAGCGGTGACAATCATAACAATAACAACAAATACGGCGCCGGCTCTGGTGGACAAACGGGCGGCCACTTTGCACACAGTCATAGTCACAGTCATAGCACGAAATACACCTCCGATGACGAGAGCTCAAGCATGACGTCCGGCTCGGGACACTTGGGGCCCAACGCCATCGCCAGCACCACTGGCGGCTCGTTTAGTCCGCTCAGGAAGAATACCGTACTCCAGGCCAGCACTCACCTGCCGGCCCCCGAAACCGCAGTCACACCAACCGCTATGATAGACATCGAGCAGATTGTCATCGAATTGAAGGACAGTCGCGAACAGGTTCGCCGACTGTCCGAAGAAGTCGAGTCATTGAAAAGTCATTTACAGAGCGAGTGCTCTGTATTTCATCAGTCATTACAAGAGGAAAGATATCGGTTTGAGGTATGCGTTCCAGTGCTTCCTTATTATCATTTACTATACGCTAAATCAGTGTTACATTTGTCGCATAAAATATCTTTTTTATTTCCTTTTATAATCTTTTTAATTATTAAAAAGTTTTTATTATTCTCGTTTGGCTTATCATTTATTTATGACTTGTTTCTTACGAATGACTTATGATTTAATGATTATATACAGAGATTAGAGGAGCAGATGAACGACTTAATAGAGTTGCATCAAAACGAAATCGAGAATCTGAAGCAAAATATGGTGGATATGGAGGAGAAAGTGCAGTATCAGAGCGAAGAGAGGCTCCGGGATGTGCACGAAATGCTCGAAA